CCGACCATAGAGCAGACAACAGCCGAAGGCCACCAATTGGTCTTCAATGCAGCGAGAAACTCCCGCACCCGGAGGCGTCCTTCAGTTTGCGCCTAAACAAATATGTATACTAGTTCAGTGATAATGGACGTCATACTAAACTCCAAATTATACACAAGAAACTAAAATTAAAAATGATACAAGACTAACAAAGGCCAGAGGCTCCTGACTTAGGACAGGCGCAAAAATGCGGCGGGGTTAAACATGTTTTTTGAGATCTCAACCCTCCCCCTATACCTCTAGCCAATGTAGAAAAAAACAAACGTACAACAGTACGCACAGTAAAACTCAGTTTAAGAGAAGTCCGAGTCCTATGTCAGAATAGGAAACAAAAGAAAATAAACAAGATGACAATAATACATAAATAACAACAGACTACTAGCAGTTACTGACATGCCAGCCCCAGACCTCAATTAAACTGATTGAAAGATTATGTCTTCATCATATGAATATCAGGCACAATCCCTCCTGTTAGGGGTTTAGTATTATACCGTCATAAAATATATGAGAAGAACATAACCCGTGTCATGCCAACAACTGGTTTTAGATCCCACCTTAACAATTTCTACATTGAATGGCCGGTACATAAATGGTACATTGATATAATTGGATATTAGTCTGAAATTGAATTGCAGTGTTTATATGATTTTGCTAAAGGTTATATATTTAATTGAAGTTTTAGTACCGGAGCTGAAATAAATTAAATCATTTCCAAGCACAACAATTAAATATCATGACTAGAAGATCAATTAAAACTTTATTTATTACATTGCTTTAAAACTTCTCAAATGATATTATCTCAGTTTTCAATTATTTCCTAATCTTCTTGTTTGTGAAAAAATATTTGTGTACTGTAATTTTTGGTTTGAATGATATGTTATAGTCAGTTTCATGGGAAAAAGAGTAAAATTTATGATCAAATGAGACAATTTATGACATACCACGAGACATCTTAGAGTTACTGTACTTTGAATGTCGTTATGATTAATTATTAAAAGATTTTCTCCACTGCTTCTATGATCAGTTATAGGATTTCTGATTTAATTGAAATATGATTTACTTGCATCATAAAAGAAAATTTGATAGTGTGATTTTATTACGTTTCATTTTAAAGCCATTATGAGATGAAACCAAATGTCAGTGTGTGTGTGTCCTGAGAAAGGTTTGGTAGTGTGTGTGTCTTGAGAAAGGTTTGATAGTGTGTGTGTCCTGAGAAAGGTTTGGTAGTGTGTGTGTCCTGAGAAAGGTTTGGTACAATTGTTTAGCAATTTTCAGTGGCCAGAGAAAAGAATTTCAGAACTTCAACATGTTGTTCTTTGATGAATGAAAGGAGATTTGCAGGCTTTACCTATTAGCATTTATGAATCTTGCCGGTCAAGAAATAATATAAACAAAATTGATGTTTAAGGTATGAGATTTCCAACTTTGTGGTAGCCATAGCAATCTAAGCCTTCTAGAATAATTCACAGGATTTTGTTGTACACTACAATTAAAATGACTTTTAGCATATGGTTTAAAAGGGTCAACATTATTTATAATTGGAAGTCTGCAGTATGTATGTCTTAAGATGATTATCTCCCCTTGTAAGAATTTTAATAGCGGATGTCTGAGATAGATGACTTTATTATTTTAGAGTTAAATAGGCTAACATGGTTTACAAGTTCATTTGTCTGTAAAATAATTATTTACTGAAATGATGTTAATCTTGTACAGTCCTAGACATAAATAATTTAATAAGCTTAAATAAAATAAAATAAACTGCAATCATTTTAAAATGTCACAGACAATCTCTTTTTATCTGATTCATTATTATATAAATCTTGTATTGATTTTATTAACCAAGTTTGTGCAAGAAGAAGTCTATATAAAAGATTTGATGCACTTTGATATTCTAGAAACAGTTATATTATAGTTGTTTGTTTATAAATAAATGATTTAAGGATGTACACCTCTCAGGAGCCAAAAATTTCTAGAATTAAACTTTTTTTCTTAACCTGATTTTTGGTTTATATGACTGTAAGAAAGTAATTGATGAAGAAAAAATCATCTAGTGGTGCACATCTTTTTTGCTACAACCATTTGAAAGTACCCAATTTTGATGATTTTCCCATTTTTCATCAATTTTTACCCATTTTTGGGCTATTATCATGAAAAAAATCACACTTTCACAATTAAACTTTTTTTCATACTTTCACTAAAGATGAAGTGGGCCAATCTGATCATGAATAAATTCAACTTAAAAAAACTATAGGTATGTGTAAATATTAGAAAGTTTTATAAAATTTTGTTGCTTTTTTGTGTCAAATTGACCATGCTGTCAATTTTTTAAATTTGGGATTTTTCTCTTTTTTTAGATAAATAAAGCATATTATTTCAACTTCTTTGTTATGAATGATTGAACAAAAACATATCAAAGAAATTTGAAAAGAAAAAACTGATAGGGGTTTGTACCTATTTTTTGTAAAATCATTTCTTGTACCCCTCACCCATTTTCTCAACATTTTGGCTGATGAGACTGACTGGATTGGTTATAAAATTTGAAAATTTTATTCCTCAAAAACTACTTATTGTAAATACACAATTTTTTCACAGAATTTAATTTGATTATAATATTTTTTAAATTCATTGATATTTTCCACTTGCATCACACGTTTTGAAAATAATTCCATAACGAGATTTCAACAAGACTGAAACATCAGAAGAATACATCCTTTATAATCTGCCAATTCATGAAATTAAAAAAAAAAAACATGCTGTTGTTAGTTGTTTCCCTTTAGTTATACTTCCGGTATTAGTTGGTAGAAATAGGGACTGCAAGATAATATTTTTTGCAATTTCTCCACCTTTTCAGCCAATCCTTTTAAAGGTCATATTTAGGCTTATAAATGTTTATTTTATTTTGGCATTAAAAATTCTCCTTAAATGATATTTCAGGTTTATTTATTGTCTTGCCAGGAAAAGAGTTGCATGTGAAACATAGAGATGCTAGACGGGCAGTGGTAACATCTTAAACTATTTGTATGAAGCTTTATATTTCTGAAGCTAGGAGACCTGGATATACTTCCTGTCTTGTAAACATGCCTTATGTTGCGAAATTCCTGTCTGACACATGTCCATTTCTCTTGACCTCATTTTCATTGTTCACCGACCTCTATATAAGTTTTAATTAAGTTTATAAGTCGATAATTTGTGCATTTTTCCTTTGATGTGTACTCGCTGATAATGTCAGTGTTAATGGACTACTCGTGATAAAAAAATTATTGTGTTAGTTGCAATTGACATGCGTGAGTGTACAGCGTAAGGATCTACTTTCCCTTTCATTCACAAATTGTGCATAAATTTATTGGCAGAAACACTGTTTTTTGGTGAATGAAACACTTAAAGTAAAGTTAGTTTAGATTTTTGGAACGATTGTGTGAAAATTTGAACAGAAAATGTCGAAAAAACCCGGTAAACTTAAAAATTTGTGTTATCTGCAGTATCATTGATAGCTTTCTTTACTATTCCTATCTGAGTTTTTATTTATAAATAGTCTGGTGCTGTCCCAAGTTGTCTTCTTTATCTGTTTCTTGAGTAGATCTGAGAAGAATTTGTTCAACCTGTACAGTCACTATTAAGTGTTACAATTCATATCTAGATGCAACACATGAATAGTGACCAAAAAGGTACCACTATCGTCATGAGAGAAGCTAGAAAAAAAATGAAATATACACATGTTCGACATTTTTTGTGGGACCATCATATAAAATTAAGGAGATATGGTTTCATTGTCAATGTATAGATGGCTATTCATAGATCAAAGATCAACTAACGCTGGTTCTCCATTGACGTCATTATTTACATTAACTCGGAGAAGATAACTATTCAGATTTCGTTGTTTACCTTGCAAAATTGAAACACATTACCATGATTACTGTGCATTCTCTTTTGTCCAGTTACAGGATTTATATCCAAAATTTGATCAGGCATCCCAATATATTAACAACAAGAAAATTACCCAAGATAAATGTAATTTTTAAGCAAATTATCCATCCAACTATACAAGTAAAAGATTTAACTTGAACTTCTACAATGACAAATCTGCTGATTCATATCGTATCGTACTACATGTATGCTATGTGAAAAATAAAGAAATTTGACTTACTGGTATGTTACCATTATATTTGGCCTTGTTGATGGCATGTTCAAAGCAGAATTAATGAAACGCATGCAATAATTCATTTTCAATACTTTGTGCAAGAGAACACCATATTTACTGCACTGTAACAAAATTTCAAATGTAATGCAGACTGTGACGTCAAGTGTGATTCGCCGTGATGCGACACGATAAAGTATTTCGTTTGCTATTTTCTCTATTATTGTAGTGATTTCAAAAGCAAAAAGTCCTTTATTCTATATATATATATATATATCACTACCCCAGTGAAACTTCCTCTTTTGAGGATTTGATCTTTTGTAGTAGTTAGAACCTCTGTCTTTCCGTGCTAGGCGAATTGTCATCAAAAGATGTAAAAAATGAAAGTTTATCTCTCGAGAGTTGACTTAAAATATGTACCAGTCATGTAGGATCATGAAATGTTTTATTATTAACTGAATGTGCTTTATTAATCAATTAAAGAATATTGTAATGTGTTTTTCTGAATTTCATTTTCATATATAAAACATTGTTCCAACTCCAAGGACTTCATTGATATAGTCAGTGGAACCTGCTCTAAAGGTCACCTCTATTAAGCAAAAATCTGTCTTGTCAGGTGACACTTGTCCTGCTGTAGAAATACCTATGCATTTTGAACCTCAATTCAAAGGTACCTCTCTTATGTCAGTTTTTCCCCTGCTCCCAATGGTGACCTTCATATATAGATTTAACTTAATATATATAGGTACCAGGTGAGAGTTACAGGCTCCTTTTATTGTTACCTTCTCAATAAAAAGTAATAAGAACATTTTTTATCTTATTTCAGGAAGCTATTCAATGTTTAACAGATCACACTAATAGAATTAAGACAGAAAATAGACAGCTAAGGAAGGAATTACTGGATCTAATTAATATTACCCGAGCTTACAAAGCTCATCAACTGGATCTCCAGGAGCAGAAGAAACAGTTAGTCAGGGAACAACAGTATGCTGGTGATTTAAAAACTCTCAGGACAACAAGGCAACATAAAGTGTTGAAAAAATTTGGAATGTTAACAGACAATACAGACTCATCAGAGAATGAAGGAACAACAAGTTGAATCTTAATATAGATCTGAGATTTATATGGCGAAAATTTTTTTTTTTATAATTTATGCATTTGAAATTGTTTTATGTATTACAAATGTATACGATATTGTCATCAATGCATTGATAGTGTTTCAATATTGACATCCATGCATGGATAGTGTTACGATATTGACATCCATGCATGGATAGTGTTACAATATTGACATCCATGCATTGATAGAATATTGACATCCATGCATTGATAGAATATTGACATCCATGCATTGATAGTGTTACGATATTGACATCCATGCATTGATAGTGTTACAATATTGACACCCATACATTGATAGCGTTACAATATTGACATCCATGTATTGAAAGTGTTACAATATTGACATCTATACATTGATAGTGTTACAATGTTGACATCCATGCATTGATAGAATATTGACACCCATACATTGATAGTGTTACAATTTGTTAACATGTTGTTCTATTGGTTATACATTGTTTGCAATAGTTACTGAAGATGTATGATAAATAAGTATGCCAACTTGGTTACAATGAACTAACAGGGCATATAAAAACATTTATTATATACAATCTGTGAAAAGAATTATATTCAAACAAATAAAAAATAAAGAATATAACTTATTGGATTTAAATATATGTGTTATATAAGTATAACAAATTGTTTAACTGAAAGGATACAAACATTATATATAGTCTATAGCTGAATTCTAAAACATTCATATTTGAACACTGCAAAGTTTTGATTTTAGATAACATCTTTTAGTCCCAAGAGTTTAAATTATGTAATTTTTTTATAACTTGGACATATTGTGATTGTTCATAATACTTAGGAAACCTCATCAATGAGACATTAGGGATATTAGGAAAGTCCCCTGTACTTACAAACCTTCAGTTTTTAAACTAGGACATATTGTGATGGTCCTCTGTTCTCCGGAACCCTCATCAATAATTTGGACATACTGGAATGTTCCCCTGTACTTATCACAGGTCAAATGTATTCCGTGTATGGACTGGTTGTGAGGTGAACATAATCTGTCTGACAGGGTTCACCTTACCTTGGTCTTATTTGATGGATCAATGATCAACATTAAGTTTTGTGATTAGATCTGGTTCTCAGATACTATAAGAAAAAGGTCAACTATATTAATTGTATAGAATGATTGTAAGGTGTACATTTCTATCTTGCAGGGTTCATTCGACCTTGGCATCATTATCATAGTTCAAGGGTCAATGTTAAGTTTATGTGGTACCTGTAGTATTTAGACCTTCATCTTTCAGACTTTCAATCCCAACCATGATCAGTAAACCAGGCAAGACATTTAAGTGTGTGCACTCTTGTAAACACAAGACAGTTGTTGGTGTGATAATGAAGAAGTTTTTATGATGTACCTGTTTGCTTTATTGGATTTTTTACAAAATTTTCATAAGATTAGATCCATATATAAACGCAAGGACCGATTATATTTTTAAAGCTTAGAATTGTCATTCAATAATAATTTGACTTTTCTCATCCAAATTTAGCCAATGTTAGATTTTTCTTGTGTAAAGGAAGTTTTGTTTCACCTGCGAAAAAGGTTGCAATATGCGAGACAGGGATTACTATCCGGCTGCAGCGGCTATATAAAGTATTTGTATAAAGCTTTATATTTCAGAATGTAGTAGACCTGGATGCTTCATACCTTGTATGAGATACCTTATATTACGAAGTTTCTGTATGTCGTTTATCCATTGTCCTCATGGTTCAGCAACTGCTTGAAAAAAAGTTGAGTTTTTTGTCATGTGAATTTCTCACTTATGAGTAATAGGATAACTATACATGTGTTTGGTATATGGGTTCCTTGCAACATCCCCATGTCCATCAGAGAGAGTTCACCTGACCTTGTGACCTTGACCTCATATGTATCAGTGATCAAGGTTAAAGATCGTGATCAGGTCGGTTTATCAGATACTATAAGCAATGTGTCCACTATATTTGGTGTATGGAATGATTGTATGGGGTACATGTCTGTCTGGCCGGTTTCATCTGACCTTAAAGGTTTTTGTGTTTTTCAAGTGCTATAAGCAATAGGTCAGCTAACTTTGGTATATGGAATAATTGTAAGGTGCACATGTCTGTCTGGCAGAATTTATCTGACCTTGACCTCATTGTCATTGATCTTCAAAAATGCTAAGTTTATGTGATACTTGTAGTGAAACCTTTATCTTTTAAGACTTTCAACATTAAATCAATGGTAAGTTAAACAGGCGAAACATTTCAGCGTGTGCACTCCCATGAAATTTTGGAAAAATTATTACATTTTTATAATATTTTTTCACATCTTGTTTCTGGAATAATGGGACTTTGGGGATGCTGGTTCATTCTTCTCTTATAAAGCAACTCCTGTTCTTGATTGATTTTACAACAATTCATAATTACCCATTGAAATCTGATGTGTGTAATTCAATATTAGTATCAGCCATCTTACATAATATAAATAAGACATTTGTGCGTGTCCACACTTATTATAATTGATCATCAGAACATCAATAATTAATGGTTTGTAATAAATCAATATAAAGTTAATTGATGTCCCATAGTAAAATAGAAATGATGATTTTATGACTGGCTTTAAAAAGTTCTATCATGATGATGGCCATAAAGATACAACTCTTTCCTCTCTAAATTGAAATGTATCGTTAGTGAACTAGCTGACCACAATTTACATTAACTGATCAAGTCAGAGATAAGTGAAACCGGATTTGCAGAAAATATCTATGTGGGTGAACTCACATTTTCTTTGTAAGTACACATCAGTATCACAGCAAAAGGAAATGTTTGGTATTTTAATACTTCTATGAAACTATAACTCAAAATAACACACATATATATACTAACACGTGGGATATTTTGAATCCAACAAAAATTGTTCTTTATACATATAATAAAGTGTCTATATAAATTATCAAGCATTAGTTCGCCCTGTTTCTGGAAAGTTGGGAAAATTAATTATTTATTTATTCAGGTTGAAATGCCCATCTGGTGCAGAGAAATTAGTACCGTTAATGCCAGCTGAAGCCCGCCTCCGGGTGCGGTATTTTCTCGCTGCGTTGAAGACCCATTTACGACTGTGTGCCATTTTTTTTTTTTATCTTTGGTCGGATTGTTGTCTCTTTGACACATTCCCTGTTTCCATTCTCAATTATGAATACTACTGTTTTAAAAAAAATGCTCCAATTGACTGAAAGCAAGCTCAGGTTAGGGGGAAGGTTGGCGACTTCAATCATGTTTAATCCCGCCATATTCTTTGCGTGCCTGTCCCAAGTCGGGAGCCTGTAGTTCAGTGGTTGTCGTTGGTTCATGTCTGTCATATTTGTTTTTCGTTAATTGTTTTGTTATAAATTAGGCTGTTAGTTTTCTCAATTGAATTGTTTCATATTTTTCAAGTCGAGTCCTATTATAGCCGACTATACAGTATGGGTTTTTATCATTGTTGAAGGCCGTGCGGTTGCCTATAATTGCTTACATCCAATTCATTTGAACTTTGGTGGATAGTTGTCTCATTGGCAATCATACCATGCACATCTCCTTGTCAGTTTCATATCAAAGTACTTGTACTGGTGATATATAAATCATGTCGTCTAACACTCTAATATCGATGGGTAAGAAAGGATGGCTGAGCTTCTTAAAGCAAGGCCATGCCGTTCATTGTTCGTGGTGGAGAATAAACGAATGACAACTTGCTTTTGCGTGGGCTATTTAAGTAAAATTTAGTACTATATTAAACCTAGTTATAGAACAGAAGATTTTGATTTCTTTAAAAGCAGAGCTTGCAAACATGTGGTTAATTGTTCTAGAATGCAAAAATAAATCGGACATACACTGCGTTATTACTTGTTTTAAGCTTTAAGTAGCATTATCCTGGGACCACATCAAGTCATCTTTTATTAATAAATAGCATGCACAAACGAATCGGTTGAACAAATATTCTTATAAGATAAGAAAGTAAAAATAAGCTTGAGTAGATATTAAGGTTTTTATTAAAAAAAAACCGCAACTGGTATTTTATTTTTACACCATATTGACTAGGTTAGACCTCTATAATATCTACATTATCTATATATTGATCTAAATTAAACTTAAACAAGCCTTTAATTTGTATAAAAGCAATGACGAGGGGAAATGCAGTAGAATGAGGGTTACGCTACCGTATTTTGGTTAATATTCAAAGAAAGTTATGCATGGTTCATTATAATGAGAGGAAATAAAACAAATATGATGTATCTGTGCTGTCAATCCAGTTTGTTGTTCCCTGTCCTAGGATATCGGGAGGGTTAAGCGCTCACATCCATGTTTAACCTCGCTATATTCAGTACGTGCATGTACTAAGTCAGGTACCCAGGGGCGGATCCAGGATTTTAGGTTAGGGGGCGCAAGCTTAAATTTTTTTGAGGTAAAATTATCGAAATATTCTAGAGTGCAGAGGCAACCCATGCTTTGCAAATTTTATGGGGGGGCACGACCGCCACGCCACCGCCTGAATCCGCCCCTGGTACCTGTAATTCAGTGGTTATCGTTGGTTTCTGTTTGTCTATCGTTTATTGTTTTAACATAAACCAGGCCGTTTGTTTTCTCGTTTGAGTTATTTTTATATTTTTTTCATAAATGACCAATGAGAAAAACTCATACTGTATAGTCAGCTTTAAAAGGCTCCGAAAGTCATTTGAAATCAAAATGGATAACCAGTGACAACCTGCAATGATCTACTTGAAAAAGACAGCGATACTGTCGTGTCCATTCAATACAAAAAGAAAGATTCAATATATGTCTCTGTTATAATGAAGTGTTCAAATGGTTACTGTGTGACTTCCTCCCATTACTTGACATTACAGATAAAATTGTCGTAAACCAAAGTGGCAAATATAACATGTATAATGCATGCAAACCAAATAAAACGGAATTAGATTACAAAATCAACACTTCGGTCACAGCGTCAAAATCAACAAAACAAATTGACCGAAAATACCACTCGTTCATACGTACATAAAATATGCAAAGTGAGTTTATTTACTTAATTATCTTTCTCGATTGCTTCGTTTGGTGAATTGAATGGTAGACAATTGAATCAAAGGGTTTACTTAGATTACATACATAGTGTTCTCAGTAGCGGATCCAGAAATTTTCATAAGGGGGCGCCCACTGACTGCTATAAGAGGTGGCCCACTTAGTCATGCTTCTGTGATTCACTAAATAATCAACAAAATTTTTCCCACAAAAAGGGGGGCGGGCACCCTGGTCCCCCTAAATCCGCCTCTGGTTCTTGATGCTTTGCTAAACAGAAAAAAAAACAAGATGGTAAGCGCTAGAAAATATTTCTATTACTGGAATAAAGAGAATATTAAAATCATATATATGCTCTTTGTTGTGTTCTTTATTGAAAAACTTATCATGTTTACATTTAAAAACTCGTTTCAGTTTAATTATAAACACAAATGAATGAAAATACGGTAAAGATTCTGATAGAAGTTACAGTGGCAATCCTTACAGTTGTATAGTATTTAATAGGGAATTAGTCAAATACTCTCAGTCTTATGGTTAAAATGATTGGCAATGAGACAACTATCAAACAGAGTCCAAATGAAGCGGATGTAAGCA